AGTCCAGGATCCAGTTGCAGAGGGAGGTGTTTAGTCCCAGGGTCCTTAGCTTAGTGATGAGCTTTGTGGGCACTATGGTGTTGAACGCTGAGCTGTAGTCAATGCATTCTCACATAAATGACTAAAATGTAAATGTAAAATGTGTTCCTTTTGTCCAGGTGGAAAAGGGCAGTGTAGAGTGCGATTGAGATTGCGTCATCTGTGGATCTGTTGGGGGCGGCATGCGAATTGGAGTGGGCCTAGGGTTTCCGGGATGATGGTGTTGATGTGAGCCATGACCAGCCTTTCAAAGCACTTCATGACTACTGACGTGAGTGCTACGGGGTAGTAGTCATTTAGGCAGGTTACCTTTCGCTTTCTTGGGCACAGGGACTATGGTGGTCTGCTTGAAACATGTAGGTATTACAGACTCGGTCAGGCAGAGGCTGGGTTTCCATTTGCAGTCCGTAATAGTTTGCAAGCCCAGCCACATCTGACGAGCGTCAGAGCTGGTGTAGTAGGATTCAATCTTAGTCCTGTATTGACCCTTTGCCTGTTTGATGTTTCATCTGAGGGCATAGCGGGATTTCTTATAAGCGTCCGGATTAGTGTCCCGCTAGCCTTTAGCTCGGTGCGGATGTTGCCTGTAATCTATGGCTTCTGGTTGGGATATGTACGTACGGTCACTGTGGGGATGACTTGTCGATGCACTTATTGATGAAGCCGATGACTGAGGTGGTATACTCCTCAATGCCATTGGATGAATCCCGGGACATATTCCAGTCTGTGCTAGCAAAACAGTCTTGTAGCGTAGCATCCGCGTCATCTGACCACTTCCGTATTGAGAAACGCTGAAATGACAGCCTTTTACCAGATCAATTTTTCCACAATAAATGTTTTATTTTCATAACTGATCAAAATGTGGTACGCTATAGCCTAAGCCAACACCTCCTTTGGCCGCCATTCCTTCCAGTTCTCTGCTGCAAATGACTGGGACAAACTACAAAAATCTCTGAAGCTGGAGACACTTATCTCCCTCATTAACTTTAAGCATCAGTTGTCAGAGCAGCTTACCGATCACTGTACCTGTACACAGCCCATCTGTAATTAGCCCACCCAACTACCTCATCCCCATATTGTTATTTACATTGTTATTTATTTTGCTCATTTGCACCCCAGTATCTCTATTTGCACATCATCTTCTGCACATCTATCTCTCCAGTGTTAATACTAAATTGTAATTATTTTGCACTATGGCCTATTTATTGCTTTACCTCCATAACTTACTACATTTGCACACACTGTATATAGATTTTCTATTTTCTATTGTGTTATTGACTGTACGTTTTTGTTTATTCCATATGTAACTCTGTGTTGTTGTTGTTTTTATCGCACTGCTTTGCTTTATCTTGGCCAGGTCGCAGTTGTAAATGAGAACTTGTTCTCAACTGGCTTACCTGGTTAAATAAAGGTGAAATAAAATAAATAAATAAATAAATATAGATAATATTCTGCCCATATGATCACATTTATTTTAGGCCATATTAAGAACAACTTTAATAAAAGACTCATAAACAGAAACAGGCAACAGGCTATATAGCTGGCTTCACAGTTTCCGCGCCAAATAGGCCTACAAGGAAAATCAACATATCTCGACCACGTTGAGTCGCAAGGGGATCTGTGCGCTGCATAGGACCTTCCACAAAAGTTTTGCTCGACAAAAAGACACGTAAGCGCCCCAGCACAGCTGCCTGCCCAGTGGCCCCCTATCCCCCCATGCCTTTCCCTACCTTGACCCTTGACCCGTGACTGAGGAACACTGGAAGGGGAGCATTGCCCAAACAAGGGTTAGTGACCTAACAAATGACAGCTCCTCTGCAGTGCTTAATTTGTAAATCGGGAGGTGCAGGAACAAAATGTGAGCGCGAGAGGGGGGTGCCTTGGGGAGCTTTGAGGTACCGGAACGCATGAGAAAAAAAATAACCTTTATAATAAAGCACTGATTGCATGCATATCATCGCATTTGTGTAGTGGCATATAGCAGTAGAGTAGAGGCACTTACACATGGGGAACATTTTAGTAGCCTAGGGTCTGGGCATTTCATACAATTCTACATATTTTTACAAGAGCGGAGACTTTGGCAGAATATTTTTTAATACTGCACAAATGATCGAAAAGACAGGCTACTTTGACACTGAAAAACTGAGAATCTGAGATCAATAAAAACGACCTTGAATCCATCAATACCATAGGCCTAGGTGTGTGTAGGCTACAATATGAGGAGGAAATGATAGTCCTAAACATGCTTTCCAGCTCACTCGCCGGTGATGGCCGATGCGTTCTTGCCAAAAGCCTATATCTCGCTCTTGTTTTACTTTGTAAAGCAATATTTGGAAGTGATCAAATATTTTGTTAGCCTACAGCAGATAGATTAGAGTCTTCTCGTTTCAGCAGGAGCCATTTGGGTTCCAACCTGTTTTCCTGTGACTGTATTTGAAATATTGCGAAAGGCCTGTTTTTGTCTGCATGCTGTTCCCGACTGTAGGCAATTCCTTGTTATTGGGCTACACACAATCCACAGCTAAGCAATTTGAAAAAAATAAGCTATTGATCCTCTGTGGATACATTATGGGCATTTTCATGGTGTAGTAGGCTATTCTGAATTATTTAATTTCTTTCTGAACAGACAGCAGTTATTCTATAACTTTGGCAAATGTATTTCAATTCATCAGGGCTGCTGCAGCTCCTCCAGAACCCTTCATGCAGCTATGATTCTATTTAAGCAATAAGGCCCGAGGAGGTGTGGTATATGGTCAATATACCATGGCTAAGGGCTGTTCTTATGCACAACACAACACGGGGAGTGCCTGGACTCAGCCCTTAGCCGTGGTATATTGGCCATATATCACAAACCCCCGAGGAGCCTTATTGCTTTTATACACTGGTTAGCAATGTAATTAGAACAGTCAAATTAAATGTTTTGTCATACCCGTGGTATAAGGTCTGATATACCATGGCTTTCAGCCTATCAGAATTCAGGGCTCTAACCACCCAGTTTATAAAAATAAATAAATAATGAAGTGCAACGCTGGAGAGATGAGAGTTGCAGGCTCATGTCTATCAGAGCAGAGGGAGGGAGGGAGGGAGGGAGATCATAGAAAGTGAATCTCATTCTAGTTCTGTGAGAGATACAGGCGGCTACTCACACAGCCATGGCCATGCATTGGTCTCAAACGTAGGTTACAATGTTACGCAAACCATAAACCATGAAAATCTACTTTTTCACATATTGGGGGTAGAAGCTGGGGGGTTGGGGCAGGACAATTAGGGATGAGCCAACTTGAATGAACTGATCGCTTTTATTTAAATTTTTACATTGCAAAAAGCAGCTATTATTTTTCATGCCAAAGAGGTAACGGATCCGGTCAAATAGGTCCCGGAACGAAACAGTCCAAAACGGAGCGGTGCCGGATCAAATTAAGCAATGCCCCTCTGTCGGTAACGCAAAATCCTGACTGGCAGGCTTCTCTGAGAGGCTCCCTACTCTCACACAGACAGACTCAGGGCTTGATTCAATCCCTATCGCCAAAGTTCAGCATTATAGTGATTGAAATGTGAAGGTATCTGTGACCAACAGATGCATATCTGTATTCCCAGTCATGTTAAATCCAGATTAGGGTCTAATTTATTTATTTCAATCGAATGATTTCCTTATATGAACTGTAACTCAGTGAAATCTTTGAAATTGTTGCATGTTCCGTTTTATTTTTGTTCAGTATAAATGGAATGTCTCGGATTTATGTACAGAATAATACAAAATGCTCTGACCAGGTTGAGTGAGAAGATTTACAGTGTGTTCCCTACATTTGCACTTACAGTAGTAGGCTGGGTACCAACCTGTTCAGCTAACATCCCACTCCTTGTACTAATGTTTAGCATATGACATGGCGTGACAAGGAGTGGAAGGATTGCTACACCATAGAAATAGAATGAATAGAACAGGCTTGGCACCTCTAACCCTGGCAAGTTGACTGGTAAATTCATGGGTACACTCGCAATGGCTGCCTGGTATTGTGACACAATCATTTACATGGTAATGTAGAATGTTCATTCAAATGATTCTAATTCATGTGGCTCATGCAATTGAATGTATTTGTAATGTTAGTTGCATTGATTCAACAAATCCCAGCAGACTGATGGGTGCACTTCCTGCTTTGCTCCTATGGGTACATTCGCAATAGTGAGAAATAGTAATGGTGGCGTCTTTTTGCAGGCACCAACTCCGGCATGGTTCGATGGACAAAGACTACTAAGAAAATTAATGGCGTTTTTGTAGGGTTTTTGGATAAACACCAAATATAATGTATTTGGTAAACACAGGCTTAGAAGATCTTATACGTTTTTTTATGAGTTAATCTTCATCAGCTAACGTCACTTTTGGTGAATGTTGAAGAATTTGTTATTTAAAAACAAAAGCACATAAAGGCTTCATAATTCCTAAAGGTGATGTTAACTGACTGATATTATCTCATTCAACAGATATCCTAAGCCTGTTAACCTTAGACCTTATTTATTCATATTAAACATGATCTACAGATCTTCAAACAATACATTTTCTAAAGCCCCCCTGGTACTGTATACCTGTTTTATACTTCATAGGAACTAACATTCATCTTGTAATGATAGACTAGCAGACTGGTTGACTTGACCATTTTCCATTTAATCAATACATGTTTTATAACTGATACTTATGTGTGCTCTGCCTAATGTCCCAGTAGTCTCCATTTGTTTCTATCAACTGGACATAGTGAGTTATATATTCTGTGCAGATATTGTTTAAATGAATAACTTTGCAAAAAAAGAAGGTATATTTTCCTGCTTACAAAAAAAGGTTTTGAAAACTTAAAACAACTTTTTTTGCAAATCATGTGGGGAAAAATCCACAGGAGAATGTACCAAAAACACAGAACTTGTATTAAAATTGCCAATCAACAGTAAAGAATTTGCTATCAGGTCAGGGTTCAGTACTCCTCTCCTTCCTCAGCCTCTCCCTCCACTGAATCCACTCCCACTTCCTCGTAGTCCTTCTCCAGGGCAGCCAGATCTTCTCTGGCCTCGGAGAACTCACCCTCCTCCATACCCTCTCCCACATACCAGTGCACAAAGGCACGCTTGGCATACATCAGGTCAAACTTGTGGTCAAGCCGAGCCCAGGCCTCAGCGATGGCTGTGGTGTTGCTCAACATGCACACGGCTCTTTGGACCTTGGCAAGATCTCCACCTGGCACCACTGTGGGTGGCTGGTAGTTGATGCCTACCTGTAGGGCACAAGAAGAAAAAAATGGTCTAAAAACCTGACTAACCAATTATACTTGAAAAGGTTAAGGAACATAGATCATTGTGAATGAATAAACCCATTGCTTGTTTACCTTGAAGCCGGTGGGGCACCAGTCGACAAACTGGATGGTGCGTTTGGTCTTGATGGTGGCGATGGCAGCGTTGACGTCCTTGGGCACCACATCCCCACGGTACAGCATGCAGCAGGCCATGTACTTGCCATGGCGAGGGTCACACTTCACCATCTGGTTGGCGGGCTCGAAGCAGGCGTTGGTGATCTCTGCCACAGAGAGCATCTCGTGGTAGGCCTTCTCAGCAGAGATGACAGGTGCGTAGGTAACCAGGGGGAAGTGGATACGGGGGTATGGCACAAGGTTGGTCTGGAACTCAGTCAGGTCCACGTTGAGGGCTCCATCAAAACGCAGCGAGGCGGTGATGGAGGAGACAATCTGGCCAATGAGCCTGTTGAGGTTAGTATAGGTGGGGCGCTCAATGTCCAGGTTACGACGGCAGATGTCATAGATGGCCTCGTTGTCGACCATGAAGGCACAGTCCGAGTGTTCCAGGGTGGTGTGGGTGGTCAGGATAGAGTTGTAGGGCTCCACCACAGCTGTGGACACCTGAACACACACACAAGAGGTAGAACAGTCATCATTAGGTTACACATAATGAAAATGTACATATTAAACAAACACAAGTATTGAGTACAGGGATAAAGTACAGAACTAGCTTTGCTGATGTGGAAATCTACCAAATATTCATGTGAGCAACTAAACCTTAGAAATACCTGAGGGGCGGGGTAAATGGCAAACTCCAGTTTGGACTTCTTGCCATAGTCCACAGACAGTCTCTCCATGAGCAGAGAGGCAAAGCCGGAGCCAGTTCCACCACCAAAGCTGTGGAAGATCAGGAAGCCCTGAAGCCCAGTGCACTGGTCCGACTGGGGGGGTACAAAGAACACAAGGGGTAAGGGTAGAGTCCTGCATCGTGTTGGATACTCACGGTTCCCTGCGGTTGAACTGAAAACTCAGCTGGCGGGAATGAAAACATTATTTCAACCCTTGGGTCGGCTCGCGGTTCAGAACAATTATATTGCTGGTCTGAAACATTGTAAATCAAATGTTTTTTTTACAAACCCAGGATCTTATTTTTTTATTGTGTTGCAAATTCCATTAGGCTATGTGAGCAGTGAGGCAGACATAGCCAGGCCTAGAATACCAGCCATGCAGTGAGAGAGTGGAGCAGGGAACTGTCCATTAGCAGGCCTATTTGTGTGGTGCTGAAACATTCCTAATTTGTCCAAGCGCAGAGCTTATGTTCCCTTCCACCACTCGACAACATGTTGCCAAGTTTATTTTACCCGACTCCTAGATCACGCAAAATTGGCTAATGTAACAGGAGCAATAAAAAGAAAGGTTATGATAGTGAAATTCGCTAGTTTGGAACAATTTGAGTCATTGTTGACAAGGAGGTCAACAACCCGGTAGATGGATACACAGCCTGCAAAAGTGCAAGCAGGTATTTGTTTACAATAATTTAGTTAATTATCAGATAATTATTACATTAATTCCTGCTTTAGTTCATTTAGACCATACACAGGCCATATAAAGTTTAAACCTGTGCGGCTGGTAACTGGTTGAGTAGCTAATAGCCTACTAAATAAATGTAGGTTCCTTTTGTAGCCTATAGCCCAGGGATCATCAACTAGATTCAGCCGCTGGCCGATTTTATCATGAGCTGATGGTCAGGGGGCCAGAATGTAATTGCAAACAATTTGTAGACTGCAAATTGACTGGAAGAAGGCCAAACAGAGCATATTTGACTAAGACATAATCATTTCAAACCTCGCTTACAATCACATACAGTGGGGGAAAAAAGTATTTAGTCAGCCACCAATTGTGCAAGTTCTCCCACTTAAAAAGATGAGAAAGGCCTGTAATTTTCATCATAGGTACACGTCAACTATGACAGACAAAATGAGAATTTTCTTTCCAGAAAATCACATTGTAGGATTTTTAATGAATTTATTTGCAAATTATGGTGGAAAATAAGTATTTGGTCAATAACAAACGTTTCTCAATACTTTGTTATATACCCTTTGTTGGCAATGACACAGGTCAAACGTTTTCTTTAAGTCTTCACAAGGTTTTCACACACTGTTGCTGGTATTTTGGCCCATTCCTCCACGCAGATCTCCTCTAGAGCAGTGATGTTTTGGGGCTGTCGCTGGGCAACACGTACTTTCAACTCCCTCCAAAGATTTTCTATGGGGTTGAGATCTGGAGACTGGCTAGGCCACTCCAGGACCTTGAAATGCTTCTTACAAAGCCACTCCTTCGTTGCCAAGGCGGTGTGTTTGGGATCATTGTCATGCTGAAAGACCCAGCCACGTTTCATCTTCAATGCCCTTGCTGATGGAAGGAGGTTTTCACTCAAAATCTCACGATACATGGCCCCATTCATTTTTTCCTTTACACGGATCAGTCGTCCTGGTCCCTTTGCAGAAAAACAGCCCCAAAGCATGATGTTTCCACCCCCATGCTTCACAGTAGGTATGGTGTTCTTTGGATGCAACTCAGAATTATTTGTCCTCCAAACACGACGAGTTGAGTTTTTACCAAAAAGTTATATTTTGGTTTCATCTGACCATATGACATTCTCCCAAACCTCTTCTGGATCATCCAAATGCACTATAGCAAACTTCAGACGGGCCTGGACATGTACTGGCTTAAGCAAGGGGACACGTCTGGCACTGCAGGATTTGAGTCCCTGGCGGCGTAGTGTGTTACTGATGGTAGGCTTTGTTACTTTGGTCTCAGCTCTCGGCAGGTCATTCACTAGGTCCCCCCGTGTGGTTCTGGGATTTTTGCTCACCGTTCTTGTGATCATTTTGACCCCACAGGGTGAGATCTTGCGTGGAGCCCCAGATCGAGGGAGATTATCAGTGGTCTTGTATGTCTTCCATTTCCTAATAATTGCTCCCACAGATGATTTCTTCAAACCAAGCTGCTTACCTATTGGAGATTCAGTCTTCCCAGCCTGGTGCAGGTCTACAATTTTGTTTCTGGTGTCCTTTGACAGCTCTTTGGTCTTGGCCATAGTGGAGTTTGGAGTGTGACTGTTTGAGGTTGTGGACAGGTGTCTTTTATACTGATAACAAGTTCAAACAGGTGCCATTAATACAGGTAACGAGTGGAGGACAGAGGAGCCTCTTAAAGAAGAAGTTACAGGTCTGTGAGAGCCAGAAATCTTGCTTGATTTTAGGTGACCAAATACTTATTTTCCACCATAATTTGCAAATAAAATCATTAAAAATCGTACAATGTGATTTTCTGGATTTTTCTCTCTCAATTTGTCTGTCATAGTTGACGTGTACCTATGATGAAAATTACAGGCCTCTCTCATCTTTTTAAGTGGGAGAACTTGCACAATTGGTGGCTGACTAAATACTTTTTTCCCCCACTGTATATCTGTCTATTATGCGTGGAAATACTTTGGAACAGATTTCCAAAATAGAGTGCATTTGGATGATCCAGAAGAGGATTGGGAGAATGTCATATGGTCAGATGAAACCAAACTATAACTTTTAGGTAAAAACTCAACTCGTCGTGTTTGGAGGACAAAGAATGCTGAGTTGCAGCCAAAGAACACCATACCTACTGTGAAGCATGGGAGTGGAAACATCATGCTTTGGGGCTGTTTTTCTGCAAAGGGACCAGGACGACTGATCCGTGTAAAGGAAAGAATGAATAGGGCCATGTATCGTGAGATTTTGAGTGAAAACCTCCTTCCATCAGCAAGGGCATTGAAGATGAAACGTGGCTGGGTCTTTCAGCATGACAATGATCCCAAACACACTGCCCGGGCAACGAAGGAGTGGCTTCGTAAGAAGCATTTCAAGGTCCTGGAGTGGCCTAGCCAGTCTCCAGATCTCAACCCCATAGAAAATCTTTGGAGGGAGTTGAAAGTCTGTGTTGCCCAGCGACAGCTCCAAAACATCACTGCTCTAGAGGAGATCTGCATGGAGGAATGGGCCAAAATACCAGCAACAGTGTGTGAAAACCTTGTGAAGACTTACAGAGAACGTTTGACCTGTGTCATTGCCAACAAAGGGTATATAACAAAGTATTGAGAAACTTTTGTTATTGACCAAATACTTATTTTCCACCATAATTTGCAAATAAATTCATTAAAAATCCTACAATGTGATTTTCTGGAAAGAAAATTCTCATTTTGTCTGTCATAGTTGACGTGTACCTATGATGAAAATTACAGGCCTCGCTCATCTTTTTAAGTGGGAGAACTTGCACAATTGGTGGCTGACTAAATACTTTCCCCCCCCACTGTATATCTGTCTATTATGCGTGGAAATACTTTGGAACAGATTTCCAAAATAAAAATCCCTTGGAACGGATTTGCTGGTGTTTTTACAGTATACTATGTCCAACAATTACAGTCTCTGATGTTGAATATCAAGTTTGGGCTCCACACGCGGGGGAGCAGATCCAAAAAACTGACCCCTGCAGGACTCTAGGTTAGGGACAGACTGGCCTCACAGGTTTACAACTCTGTTCAAGTAGCTTGCTAGTAAAGTTACATAACTAGTAGTTGGAAACACATTGCCACGCGTTCGCAAGCTGCTACTCACCAGCTTGCGAACTCGGTCCAGCACCAGATCCACGATCTCCTTGCCAATAGTGTAGTGGCCACGAGCATAGTTGTTGGCGGCATCCTCCTTACCGGTGATGAGCTGCTCCGGGTGGAACAACTGACGGTATGTCCCAGTGCGGACCTCATCTATGAAAAATCACAACTCTGTTCAGGCTGGATTTTATCAATGTAAAAAATCAGTCATGTCAATATTTTAGCAAATGTTCGTCCTTACCAACAACAGTTGGTTCGAGGTCAACAAACACTGCACGAGGGACGTGTTTTCCCGCTCCAGTCTCGCTGAAGAAAGTGTTGAAGGAATCGTCCCCTCCGCCGATGGTTTTGTCGCTGGGCATCTGACCATTGGGCTGGATCCCATGCTCCAAGCAATACAGCTCCCAGCAGGCATTCCCGATCTGAACACCGGCCTGACCAACGTGGATAGAAATGCACTCACGCTGTGGAGAAATAAAATTTGACTAAATTTGCTAGCTCTCAAGATAAATGTGTAAAAGCTGGCTGATTTATGTTACTTAGATAGCTATTACATCATCGCTGAATGGTTAGTTACGAATTAGCTAATGTTAAGTTAGCTAGCTAGGTAGCCAATGTTAGCTAACATCAGATAATTTGACTAAAATTGGTTTACTTGTCACTCATCTTCTTGACAGAAACTTACCATGTTGATTATAAGTAAGACCTGTAGCTAATTAATGTTTTTAAAAAATTTGTTCGACAGTTGGCTAGCTAGTCTGCCTTGGCTATGCGACTTTCAACGGTTAACCGCACAAAATATTGAAAAACATCGCCGATTCACGATCATATAGGCCCCTGAATGAGCCCGCCTTCGTTTAAACCCAATTGGGTGTATTTCAAACAGATTATGTGTCAATCAATCTTTTCTCTTTTGGCATTGGAACATGGTATAATGTTTCAAAAATCAACTTCATTTACGGCTGTTATTGGCTTGTTTTGGTTGGTTGGACCAATGCTGCATTTTTCAAATGACAGCGCGGGCTTTTTGACAGCAGATCAGATAGACAGCAAAAAAGGTGAAATGCAAGAAATTCAATTTTACCCAAATCAGTGAGGTGAATGCAATGCTTCCTTCTGCTATTCACTACTTGTGTAGCTAACAATATTGGAATTATTGATTATTTTTACTGGTAAACTTGCCAAGAACTGGAAACAGCGGTAGCCTACTAGGTCAAGGCTAGCTATTATTTTAGTCCTGCAGCATGTTTTACCTTCCAGCCCAAAGTAAACTGCCCTATAGCACTTTGTCCAGGGTTACCAATAATGATGCTGGCTCAAATGAACTCATCTTTCTGATTTGTGTGTTGTTCTTGACTCCTTGTTCTTCTACTCATCTGTATAAAAATGAAAAGACAATATATTTTCCAGCATCATTTGGAGGCAGAGGAGGAGGGAGAGAGGAGGAGAGAAGGGGGAATTGAGTGGGGGAGGAGAGAACATAGCTCAAATGTGTTGGGGATTACCATTCAATAGGGTTCAATCTGGTTTGTAGAACAGTTATTCTATTAAGAAAAGTTAGAAAAATAGTTAGATAAACAGTTTCACTCCACAAATTATACAATAGTTGACAATATAAAATACAGATACAGAAAAATAAAATTGTGGACCACTCAAATTAAATCGTTTTGAGACACTAAAAGCAGTCAAACACGGTACAGTATTAATGCCATAAACTAGCAGTGGTGTAAAATACTTAAGTAAAAATACTTTAAAGTACTACTTAAGTCGTTTTTGGGGGGTATCTGAACTTTACTATTTATATTTTTGACAACTTTTACCTCACTACATTCCTAAAGAAAATAATGTACTTTTTACTCCATACATTTTCCTTGACACCCAAAAGTACTAGTTACATTTTGAATGCTTAGCAGGACAGGAAAATGGTGCAATTCACACTTATTAAGAGAACATCCCTGGTCATCCCTACTGCCTCTGATCTGGCGGACTCACTAAACACACATACTTCATTTGTAAATTATGTGTGCCCCTGGCTATCCGTAAAACATTTTTTAAATGTTGCAGTCTGGTTTGCTTAATATAAGGAATTTTAAATTATTTATACTTTTACTTTTGATACTTAAGTATATTTAAAACTGGGTGACTTTCACTTTTACTTGAGTCATTTTCTATTAAGGTATCTTTACTTTTACTCAAGTATGACAATTGTGTACTTTTTCCACCACTGTAAACTAGATGTACTAAAATGAAACTTTTATTGGCTTTATTATTTAATCATTATAAATTCTTACTTAACTGCTCTTTGCACTTGGTCTACTAACTTTATGGTGATAAAGAGACCTTCTCCCACAGCCTTTAGTTTAATGACCTGAAATGAGGTCAGCTCACCCAGTGTTTCTTTATCCGAGTTCTTATACGGTTTCACATTTTCTATCAGAGATGTTAAATTATCTTCCATTTACTTCACTAAGTAAGTTGTGTAAAAAAGGGGACTGAACCTCATGCTGTACTAGACTACATTTCTGAAGTGTCATTTCTGCTGCTGTTTTGTCTGTCTGGGACATGGGCTCAGGGAGAGAGTGGAGGGGTCAGAGAGACTGACAAGACTGAGGGAGAGAGCGGAGCGAGAGGACTTGATAGCCAAAGGACTGACGCTGCAGAGACGTCCCAGAAACAGACAAACAGCCAGACCACCACCACCCCTGACATTTGGACTGAGCTGAGAGACATGTTGGTGGAGCAGCGTGGAGCTGAGGAACATTGAGACCAGACAGACTGGGGGACAGTGAGGGGGAGGTAGAAGAGCAGAAAATCAAGGTGATGGTACCAACAACAGATCTGGGAATCACCAAGAATGAAGTGCAGTTCCTAAAAGACTAAGTTGGCGAGCTGGAGACAGAGAATGCAGATAATGATGAGAGCAAATATATATTTGAGTTAAATGAAGTTTATGAGAAAAATTAACTAAAGTTTCCTCTCTTATGTAATGACAGCCATGGGTGCCAGAGTGACAGCCAGTGAGAGAGGTGGAGGACCAGAAAAAGGAGGTGACGGCTCTTGGAGGTACTGAGCGCCACTAAGACAATTGCAGCTCAAGAAGAATAAGGTGGAGTAGCTGGAGAAAGAGAATGCAAGTACTGTATTTAGGAATGGAATACTTCACATTTGTAACTTGATCAAGATAGAGGAATAAAGCTTGTTATGAAAGTTTTACCTATTGATTCAGTAGCTATTCAAAGAGCTATTTCCTTTCTGGTCAATTTAGCCCTGGAGGCCAGTGACAGACATTGACAGTGGGAACACAGGTAGGCTAAGAGGACATTGATACAAACATTATCCTATAAACAGGAAGGTAAACTCAATTAAAATGACTAATCTATCATTTTCTGTACACAGCCTTTGAGGACAGACTGAGTGCCAGAGAGGTGGAGGAGCTGAAGAGAGAGAATGCAGGTGAAATACCTTAGATATGACCTTCTACTTCACAGAAACACTCCATGTTTCACACTGTATATCTATCTTTCAACATTTGTAGTATGGGGTCTGTCAAGATATGGGCTTTAAAATATAGTGTGGTGAAGGTAGTAGTGTTCTTGATAAAAAGTATTACAATCTTTGAATTCATTAACAGAACAAATGCGGCCATGTCTGCTGTTTTGACTGATGGAGCTGTAGGACCCCTCAATACCGAAACCTCACTTGTCTACAACAGTCATCACCAACATACGTAATGAATGACCTGACCAGTGACCACACTAATCTACACACACTGAATCACCCTACAGTTAACATTACTCAGTGTCTATGAGAGATGGACTGTGCTCATTTCTCCTTGCTTCTCTTCGGATGCAGGCATCTTCACAGCACTAGTAAGTCTACTACTTCAGATTCACTGACATGGATTACAGATCTCCACAATGAATGGGTGTTTACCTATACCACAATGACCAGAGCCTTATGTGGAATAGGGAACACAATGGTAGTGAAAGTTACATATACATATCTAATGCATTGTCTCTAGATGGAGGAAGGTGAATGGTCTCTCATTCCATGGGCAATTTGATGGTGCTGAATACAACACCTTCAGTGGCTTCCTGCTCTTCCTTATGCGAGGGGCTTTCTGATGTGAGCAGTTCTGGGGTTAAAGCCCTCATGTCTACTGGACCTAATAAACATCTAAGCATTAAGAAAAATAACTTTTTACGCATTGATAAATCACAGACATAAAATAACTAATCCATTAGTTCTAGTACCCACTCAACTGAAGCACTTACAGCATGAATTACAGTACAGTTACAAACATGCTTCTAAATTTGAAAGATTTTGCAAGTGGTAGTTCCTTAATATTCCTGAGATAAGACAGAAAGGTATTTACAGGCATCCGTTGACTGCAATGTCTTATGTACATCCATTGCACTGTGACCAGACCATCTACTTACTACCTCCAAATTTGCCATAGATAACTAAAGCATGAGGCATTTCATTATGTTTAACATTTAAAACACACCCCGAAATAGAACCGCCTCCAAGGCTTTGTACTTCAATTTAGAAACTGGCAATGAAAAGCAGGTAGCTTAGTGGTTAAGAGCGTTGTGCCAGTAACCGAAAGGTCGCTGGTTCTAATCCCCAAGCCGACTGGGTGAAAAATCTGTCGATGTGCCCTTGAGCAAGGCACTTAACCCTAATTGCTCCTGTAAGTCGCACTGGATAAGAGCGTCTGCTAAAATGTAAAATATCTATTCAAATACTTCACTTCAAAGACAATGATATCAGGAATGCTTAAACTTTATTGAAATTAACAGGAATGAAGAGCTGGGGATGAGGGGTTAGGGGAGGGAAGTCAGTGGGAGATGCTGTCAAGGGGTGGGGCTGGAGGTAAGGTGGGGAATTAGGAATGGCGGGGAATTTAGGTTAAGATGAGACATCGTTAAGAGCAGAGGAGAAGCTGCTTAGTTGCCACCACGGAGACGAAGGACCAGGTGAAGGGTGGACTCCTTCTGGATGTTGTAGTCGGAGAGGGTGCGGCCATCTTCCAGCTGCTTGCCAGCGAAGATCAGACGCTGCTGGTCTGGGGGGATGCCCTCCTTGTCCTGGATCTTGGCCTTGACGTTCTCGATGGTGTCACTGGGCTCGACCTCTAGGGTGATGGTCTTGCCGGTAAGGGTCTTCACAAAGATCTGCATCTTCACACTAAGGAAGAACAATATATGTTAGACTAAACTGCTCACATAAGACTAAAAGTAATGTCTGAAAACTGTAAGAGGCTACACATAATTCATACTGTAGGTCTCAATCTAGTATTCATTTCAATTTCATGGGCGAATTTCTAAATAGGGCAGTGCAAAGCGCCTCCCACTGGGGGCAGTACTCAGCTGACATTTACGTCAGCAGGCGCCACCATTTTAGAACAATCTCTTATCTTGGGTCGTTACACCGCCACCAAGCCCTAAACCCCGCATATTTCTACAATTTCTCTTGAAATCTGATGCAATTTCATTTGTCGTCGACACGTATCTAACGTTCTCCTGTTAACAAATGACTTCAGACTAATCCTAACATTAGGCCTAATTGAAATTAAACACTTTATTGAATGCCCGTTTAGCCAAATAAAATATCTTTGCGAGGTGGGCTTACTTCGCGAGCTGTGTTTCACAGTAGCTAGTCAATCACTTACTGTATTTGAATGGCGGCTCAAATAAACGTTAGGCTAGCAGACAAATAACGTCAGCCAGCTAACTCGAATGACGGAAATGCCTATACAATAGTAAATAATACTGTTGCGCACCTTGTTTTATCTAGCCAATTTAACACCATACTCAGTCCGCTATATTACCTACTTAAAAACAAGCTAGTTACATAACTAGAAAATTCGCTGGTCTGACCAGTTAACGGGTAACGTTAGCTAGCGTCGACGCTGCTGGTACATACACCATAAGAATAGAAAGGCATTTAACTACAAATAAACATCAAGCCAAATTAAGTGTGTGAAAAATGTTTAGTTATTAGTGCTCATTTTGGATAATACCCTACTTACAGAAAAATGATCCAACGGTGTTCTTGAATATTCTAGTTTCTGCCTCTGTCTTCAGGAAACGAGTCTGTTTTCGCAAACAAAGGGCTGTGATATTTATACCTTACAGTCAAGTATCCCTCCGCCGTTACACCCATGTCGAACTATAAACTGCGGATTTCGAAACATATCCATTATCATATGGATTTTTTTGGATAAAGGGACAAAATCTATAACATACCACAGTAAAAATGTTTTGTATCAATGTTCATTTTTAACTCGAAGAAACTGTATGAATGGATGGTCGGATAAAAGAAGTCGAACATTAGCGGATATAGAAATTAGCAAAAAGAGTGATTCGTCGTTCTCTAGCAACAAGCTGCGCAGTTAACACGAAACCAGTCACAGTCGGCGTCACACAGTATCAACCTTGCCAGCTAACTAGTGAAATCGGTGTATGTGTTTAGCTATGTCAGTAATGCCTCAATCTTTACTTTTTGAGTAAGTATAGTTTTGCTAAATTTACAAGCATCAGCATATTAGGAGCTTTCCCAGAGAACAGTTTTTTGGATCAACTCATATGTACATAGAATACTGTTGCTTAATTTCATGCAACACAGATGTGGACAGTTTATTTCAGGGCATCAAAGTGATTTAATAGAAACTGAATTAACAGCATGGATCAACATTTTCATTCTACACAAACAGGCGAGGCCATTCCCCCCGCTCTGAGCCAGACTCCTTCCTAACCTCTACCAGCCGATCTAGCAACATCAATTTATTTCATTTTCTCCATTGTACAACACTTCTTCAGATCAATGAGGTCTAGAGAACAAGCATGGGCATCCCCTTTGACTTCAGCCTGACTGTGCTGAGTGCTGAGCCAGCAGACTTTTGGTTGATGTTGTTGTCTTTCCTGAGAGGGGTCATAGTGACCATTGTTCCAGACGCTGACACTGTCACCTTTCTGTCTGTGAACCATTCATGGATGTCTAAAGAAGGAAGTAGACAGAACCAACGTTGATTAGTTCTATAGTAGAAACAGTCAATCAACAGTAATCTAGACATTGAGGATTGGCTTTTCTGTTAGACTAACGAGGGCCGTCCTTTCATATGTAGGCCTGCTACAGGAGTTTAAAGTCTCCCCTTGATCTGAACTTACAGAGAGAGGACATGAGGTTTACATCAGCAAAACCCTGTGTGTGTGTGTGTGTGTGTGTGTGTGTGTGTGTGTGTGTGTGTGGACGTGTTTAACTATTCTTGTGGGATAATCGTAAATTAACAAAAAATGGAAAAACTGGGGACATTTTGTTAGTCCCCATGAGGTCAAATGCTATTTCTAGGGGGTTTAGGGTTAAGGTTAGAATTAGTGTTAGGGTTAAGGTTAGGTTTTTGGGTTAGGGTAAGAGTACGGGTTAGGGTTAGGGGTTAGGGAAAATAGGATTTTGAATGGGACTGCATTGTGTGTCCCCACAAGGTTAGCTGTACAAGACTGTGTGTGTGTGTGTGTGACCTTACCCTCTGTGTGTTGTTGAGGACATGTGGGTCAGGCTGTCTTTAGAGAGGTCAAATCCACTGATTGTCACGTGGCGCAAAATCATAGAGTACACCGCCGTTCGCCCATCTCTCGGCATCAACAGGAACTTAGAGCTACAGAGAGAGAGGGGAAGGGCGTAGAGGTATGGCGCGATAGAGGAGGGAGATAAATGTTATAGGAGAAAGAGGGAAAGGGAGAACTTCAACTTTCCACTTCAATCAGTGCTCATAATTCTACCTAACCCCAGTTTCAGGCCTGTAGATTGTAGGAAGCACAGTCAGTGTAAAGCGAAGAGAGAAAAAAACTGAAGTAGATAAGTTACCTCCTGTCCCATCAGGATTTAGTTTGAGCTGTTGTAATCAGTCATACTACATGCTCGGTACACTGTAGAATGTATCCAGTCACAAATGATCAAATCAAATTGTATTTGTCACATGCGCCGAATACAACAGTGAAATGCTTACTTACAAGCCCTTAACCAACAATGCAGTTTTAAGAAAAAATAAGTGTTAAGTAAAAAGTAGATAACTAAAAAATAATGAAAGAGCAGCAGTAAAATAACAGTAGCGAGACTATATACAGGGGGTACCGGTACAGAGTCAATGTGCGGGGGCACAGGTTAGTCGAGGTAATTGAGGTAATATGTACATGTAGGTAGAGTTAAAGTGACTATGCATACATAATAAACAGAGAGTAGCAATGCAAATAGTCCGGGTAGCCATTTGATTAGCTGTTCAGGAGTCTTATGGCTTTGGGGTGGAAGCTGTTAAGAAGCCTTTTGCTTGCCATGCGGTAGCAGAGAGAACAGTCTATGACTAGGGTGGCTGGAGTCTTTGACAATTTTTAGGGCCTTCCTCTGATACCGCCTGGTATAGACGTCCTGGATGGCAGGAATTTTGGCCCCAGTGATGTACTAGGCCGTACGCACTACCCTCTGTAGAGCCTTGCGGTCGGAGGCCAAGCAGTTGCCATACCATGCAGTGATGCAACCGGTCAGGATGCTCTCAATGGTGCAGCTGTATAACTTTTTGAGGATCTGAGGACCCATGCCACATTTTTTCAGTCTCCTGAGGGGGAATAGGCCTTGTCGTGCCCTCTTCATGACTGTCTTGGTGTGTTTGGACCATGATAGTTTGTTGGTGATGTGGACACCAAGGAACTTGAAGCTCTCAACCTGCTCCACTACAGCCCCGAAAATTTAGGAGAATGGGGGGTGCTCAGTCCACTTTTTCCTGTAGTCCACAATTATCTCCTTTGTCTTGATCACGTTGAGGGAGAGGTTGTTATCCTGGCACCACACGGCCAGGTCTCTGACCTCCTCCCTATAGGCTGTCTCATCGCTGTCCGTGATCAGGCCTACCACTGTTGTGTCGTCTGCAAACTTAATGATGGTGTTGGAGTCGTGCCTGGCCATGCAGTCATGGATGAACAGGGAGTACAGGAAGGGACTGAGCACGCACCCCTGAGGGGCCCCCGTGTTGAGGATCAGTGTGGCAGATGTGTTGTTACCTACCCTTACCACCTGGGGGACGGCCCATCAGGAAGTCCAGGATCCAGTTGCAGAGGGAGGTGTTTCGTCCAAGGGTCCTTAGCTTAGTGATGAGCTTTGAGGGCACTATGGTGTAGAACGATGAGCTGTAGTCAATGAATAGCATTCTCACGTAGGTGTTCCTTTTGTTCAGGTGGGAAAGGGCAGTGTAGAGTGCAATAGAGATTGCATCATCTGTGGATCTGTTGGGGCGGTATGCAAATTGGAGAGGGTCTAGGGTTTCTGGGATAATGGGATAATGGTGTTGATGTGAGCCATGACCAGCCTTTCAAAGCACTTCATGGCTACAGACATGAATGCTACGGGTCGGTAGTCATTTAGGCAGGTTACCTTAGTGTTCTTGGGCACAGGTAATATGGTGGTCTGCTTGTTGTTCAGCCACGACTCGGTGAAACATAAGATATTACTGTTTTTAATGTCCCGCTGGTAGGATATCCGTGATCGTAGTTCGTCTATTTTGTTATCCAATGATTGTACGTTGGCTAATAGGACTGATGGTAGAGGCAGATTATCCACTCGCCGTCGGATCCTTACAAGGCACCCTGACCTACGTCCCCAATATCTCTGTCTCTTTCTCATGCGAATGACTGGGATTTGGGCCTTGTCGGGTGTCGGAAGAAAATCCTTCACATCTGACTCGTTAAATAAATAAAAAATGTGGCCCGTACGAGGTGAGTAAACGCTGTCCTGATATCCAGAAGCTCTTTTCGGTCATAAGAAACGGTGGCAGAAACATTATGTACAAAATAAGTTACAAATAACGCGAAAAAACACACCCAATAGCACAATTGGTTAGGAGCCCGTAAAATGGCAGCCATCTCCTCCGGCGCCATTGATCTGCTCTTGTGGTGTCTGTATGGCTGATATGGGTCAGTATGTGAAAAGCCACACTAGATCACAGTGTGTAGTGACAGAGGCTTTTGGGTCAGTAAGGTCAGTGTATATGTGTGTCTTCTTGACGGAGGTATGTGTTGTGTGTAGCAAAGTACGTCAGGCCTACTTGGGGAAGAGGTAAGTGAGGTACTGAGCTCTCTTCAGAGTGAAAGGGTCTTTATTTCAGAGTACAGGTGCTGGCTCTCCATGTCAAACTATGATATCAAGAAGGAAAGCAGTGACCACTCGGTCCAGGACCTCAGTGCTGACCCCCTCCTCCTCATTAGCCCAACCTCAGACACAGCAGCCTGGGCACAACTCTTGTCTCCTCCCAGAAACGCAGGAACTGGGTCAGGGTGTAGAGCCGTCCAAGATCAGGAGCCTTGTTAACCCCATCCGTGCTGACACATGCATCACTGATGGAGACAGTTGTGCTTGGTCATGGTCTCTTGGTCACAGGTAGTAGGCCACTTGTGTGTGCATCTTTTTTGATCAGGTCTTTCTTGTAAAAGAGATGTTTTGGCTTCAGTGAGACTACCCTTGGTGAGACGTATAGAGAGAGGTACTTTGTGGAATAGGGGGAGAGAAACAAGACCGAGGTAGATTTTACATCTCATATTCATACAGAAACAAACTATATTATTATTCATCAAGTAAGTGCCTGTCAGTAAATATGAAATGCAAACTTCACAAGGTCTAATCAGGCATTCTAGAACCTTCGCTGTTCAATCAAGGTCAGTCAAGGTCAGAATTAGAACACAGATATGCAGATAGACAAACCAACAGAGAGATAAAGAGAGAGAGAGAGAGAGAGAAGGTGGAGGGGACATAGAGCGACGACAGATGAAAGGGAGACAAACAAGAAAGAAAAGGTCATGGAGGAAAAGAAAGTAGACAGTCTGCTATAAAACATTGACATGAGAGAGAGAGAGAGATATGTTTGCTGTACTTAACGGACGGAAGAGGAAGTTGAACTGTGGTGAACTAGTTTGAGTGTGAAAACTGGTGCGGAACAGAGTGAGTTAGATAAGGACAGAAGAATGAAGTGGTTAGAAAAGAGAGAAGAGGTTGAAGCATTTTCAGGACTGATTTCTCTGACCCACTAGGCCTTATTCTGTTTTATATCTATGCTATAGGACAGAAGTCACCATTGCAACTTCCATATTGATTTAAATGTAATTTTAAGGAATATCTCCCCTGACCCTAAATTAAGAACAAATACAGTAGCTCATATACTCGCTTGACCATCTAGTCTACTTTGTGTTGCACTACTCAGTCAAGCCTGCCTTTACTTCCTGAAAACATAGGGCTTTGTATGACTCTGACACCCTCTCTATTAAGCTGTTTTGTTGGGTAATTACACATATGCCCTCACAGACAGAAAATACACACACACACACACAGTTGTTTTCACACCTTTGCCGTTAAGTAGTACCTTTTCATTTGTGAATAGCAGCAATAGTCATTGAAACATAAAGCAACTTTGTTTTTGAGGCTGTTGGGTACTGAGGTCAGGGGGGAAAAAAGCTGATGGGTCAGAATGAAAGTAAACCAGTTCCAACAACTCTGTCACCCCTGGTGTGTGTGTGTGTGTGTGTCTGTGAGAGAGAGATTGCGCTACAGGATCTTCAAACAAGAACGTGACAAATAACAAACTTGATCGCCGGATAGCCTTCCTATGCTATGAAGTGACTGGAAGTGCACACAGAAGTCCAGTGTCTGGAATGGATCCAGTTCTTTTACCTACCAGACTGTGTTCTTGAAGGAAAGGAGACATAGCCTGTGTGTGTGTCTATGGATATACTGCTGCATTAGCAGGACAACACTGCACAGTGTCAGAGAATGTCCTCTTCTTTATGTTCCTTGTTCTGCCCAGTGACATAGGGAGGGACACTCGAATAACTGACAACAAAGACAATGTGTGGGTTTTATTTTTATAGAAAGATTCTATCATACTTTTTATTTTGACCATTAATTTAGGGAAATCAGTAACATGGTACATCTTTTCTTTTTTTCTTCTCAAAATGAAAATGTATATTCATTAATCTGCATAAAACGTCACATTTACATCAAAATAAATACATAATCTGGTGGTGGTCTCTTCTGGTGTTTTTATGGTTGGTAGGTTGAGCTTGTACAGGGAAGGTCAGTTACTACAGTAAAACCAGTACTATAAACTGGTCTAAGACCAGGCCTTAGAAATGACTGCAGGCAGGAAGATGGGGAACGGACAGGAAGAGATAATGGCCTCACTTCATGTGTCTGATTCTGATTCTAAGGTCCAAATTTACTCCTGCATTTTACATCCCAATGGACCACATTCATTTAACAATACTTGAGTTTTGTTTTGGCTCTCTCCTCTCCTCTATCTTTCACTCCTCCTTCTTTCTCCCCTTCTCTCCCTCACCTCTCCCCCTCTCTCTCCTTCATGTATTCCCTCCCTCTCTCTCCCTTACACACTCTCCCTGTCTCTGTATTTGTTCTCTAATGGTAGACACATGAGTAAATAGACACAACTTGTCACAAGTGCTTCAGTCTCTTTATCCCCCAAATCCTGCAGCCCCATTTCACAGTATCTCCTGTCCTCCCCTTTCTCCTCTCCTCTCTTCTCCCCCATTCCCTCTCCCACTCATCTTCACTCTCTCGCACGCCTCTCTCTGGGATTGGAGGACAGGGTCATGGGGTCATGGGGGGAAGGGGCAGGACTATAGTCAGTATGTATTTACATAACTTCCTCCTGGGAGGGGCTAAGGAAGAGGAGGAAGGGTAGGGAGAGGGGAGGGGTTGGTGGGGTGGATGCTTCATTTTGGGATTCCAACAGTGGAGAAGGTCCTCATATTGATACCTCATATTCACGGTTGTCCTGAGAGAGAGGGAGAGAAAGAGAGAGAGATGATAAAGACCAGTAATAAGGACTCTCCTGTCTCATACAATGACTATGTTTGTGTGTGTGTTTTCAGTATGTGTGTGTGTGTTTGTGCATGTTCTTCCTCACCCCTCCTGTCTCGTAGAGTGGGTTGTCAAACTCGCTCTCCAAGGTGATCTGGCTGTAGGGGTGTGGGTAGATGAGTGGCAGCCACAGGTTGGAGTGGTAGCGGCACCTGGTGGCCAAGAAAGGAACAGCATGGAGTCAGGAATATAAAAACACCCAGAACCTTCAGGACACCACCACTGTTTTCATGAGCAGAGAGAGAGAGAGTGTGTGTGACATAACATCTCATTCATTTGAGTCTATACATTGAGGTGAAACGTTCAGAACGTTGCAGATAGAATCGTCACATGTAGAGCAGCTGACATGATAATATCATATGACAGAGAATAATATCAGTTCTACACAATACATTTCTATCTGAATGTTCTGTAACGTTGCAGCCTCCTGTTATCCAACCATGACAAAGGTTGCACAGTCAAATAGGAAGGTAGCCAGGGCAGTTTGTTCAATCGTCATAGAGTTTCCATATGACCATTGATGGACAATATAGCTTTTAAACAGAATTGAATACAGAATATTCAGCTCCAGTGTATTCAAGTAAGTAGTGTTGAGGTGAGAGAGGGTGTGGTCTAACCGTGTGATGTAGACGTAGGCTCCTCCCAGCAGCACGGAGAGCAGAAGTACAAGGATGAAGATGGCCAATGCCATGTTGCCACCGTCCAGCCCTGACCCGGCTGCTGCCTCAACAACTGGAGGAGATAGGAGATATAGAGAGAGGGAAGGAGAAGGAAGGGGAGGAGAGGAGAGGGAGATATAGAGAGAGGGAAGGAGAAGGAAGGGAGGAGAGGAGAGGGAGATATAGCTTGGGGAAGGCGTCTCGGAAGGCTTCTTCGGAGAGGGGCTATGGAGCGTCTTGTCTTGCCGGCGCCGGGAGCGCGCGTGCGCTCTCGCGCGGGACGGGCGCCTGGGGTCAGTCTCGGTAGCTCTCGCTCGCGGTGCCGGCGCCTGAGGGTTTCAGTGCGGTGTCTGCTCTCGCCGTTGCCGGGCCGGTGGCGGCGGCGCGGGATTTACGCGCGGGAAGAGGAGAGGGGAGGAATAAGGAGACTAAAATAAATGAGAAATAGACATGGTGGCTTCATTGAAAAGGTCAAAACAACAGATAAGCATTACCAAGGCAAAAAATATTAAAGTGAATCCAACATTTTGTCTGTCCGTGTTCTTGTCTGCATGTCTCCCACTGGGCACACACTGGTTGAATCAACGTTGTTTCCACGTAAGTCGCTCTGGATAAGAGCGTCTGCTAAATGACTAAAATGTAAATGTAAATGTAAATTTCATTGAAATGACGTGGAACTAACATGGAATAGACGTTGAATTTGACATCTGTGCCCAGTGGGCTGTCTATCTATTTCTTTTCAGATCTTTGTTTGTCTCTTAATTAGCTGGGATACAAAAAAAAAAAAAAACTTTCTAGAACCAATACTTGCCCAGTGGGAGACATGCAGTGTGTGCCCAGTGGGAGACATGCAGACAAGAACACGGACAGACAAAAACAGAGAAACACTGAGACAGACAGGCAGGCAAGTATTGGTTCTAGAAAGTTTTTTTTTTTTTTGTATTCCAGCTAATTAAGAGACAAACAAAGATCTGAAAAGAAATAGATAGACAGCCCACTGGGCACAGATGTCAAATTCAACGTCTATTCCATGTTAGTTCCACGAGACATGCAGACAAGAACACGGACAGACAAAAACAGAGAAACACTGAGACAGACAGGCAGGCTCGCAGAGAGACAGACAGACAGACAAACTCACCTTCCAAAGCATGGTTGCCAAAGCAGTCATGGTTGGCTGCAAGACATCAGACATTCTCTCAGACATTAACAGGGTAGATAGGGTATATCATAACACTGGTGGCAGGTACAGTATGTCTAGGGCTGTCTAGAGTCCATTCATTTCCTATATAGTTGCACTACTTCTAACCGCAGCCTTAAACAACTACAGAGAGAGGAGGAACTACAAATATGTCTGCCGAGAGCTGCATCATGCACAGGGACATTATCATTACTAAAACAAGCACCATTCGCATGTAGCGTGTCTATGTGGAAAGTCAAGGTTAGGAATGTTCCATTCCATGCAAGTCTGCGTGGGTGGCGTGTGGGTGCTTGGCGGCTGGGCCTCACCCCTGCACAGCGGGAGTGGTCCGCTCCAAAATGATGGGTTCCCCAGAATACACTTGATGGCGACCTCGCCGATGAGCTCGTAGCCTTGGTAACAGATGAAGGTGAGCAACTCGCTGGGCAGGTAGAGGCGCTTGGACAGGATCTGGTACCCGTTGTCAGGGAGACCGGGGTTCTCACAGGAAACAGATTCCTCCGCTGGAGAGAGGGAGGGATGGAGAGAGAAAGCGTGTGCGAGAGAGAGAGAGAGAGAGAGAGAGAAAGGGGTCAACAATAATCTGCTCAACATTTATCAAGCCCTTGACCAGTTGAATCAAATCAAAATGAAATCACATTTTATTTGTCACATGCGCCGAATACAACAGGTGTAGACCTTACCGTGAAATGTTTACTTACGAGCCCTTAACCAACAATGCAGTTCAAGAAATAGAGTTAAGAAAATATTTACTAAATAAAATAATGTAAAAAATAAAATAAAAAGTAACACAATAAAATAACAATAAAGAGGCTATATACAGGGGGTACCGGTTCCGAGTCAATGTGCGGGGGTACAGGTTAGTCAAGGTAATTTGTACATGTAGGTAGGGGTAAAGTGACTATGCATAGATAATTAACAGCGAGTAGCAGCAGTGTAAAAACAAAGGGGGGTGTCAATGTAAAAAGTCCGGGTGGCCATTTGATTCATTGTTCCGCAGTGTTATGGCTAGGGGGTAGAAGCTGTTAAGGAGCCTTTTGGACCTAGACTTGGCGCTCCGGTACCGCTTGCCTTGCGGTAGCAGAGAGAACAGCCTATGACTTGGGTGACTGGAGTCTTTGACAATTTTTTGGGCCTTCCTCTGACACCGCCTAGTATATAGGTCCTGGATGGCAGGAAGCTTGGCCCCAGTGATGTACTGGGCCGTATGCACTACCCTCTGTAGCGCCTTACGGTCGGATGCCGAGCAGTTGCCATACCAGGCGGTGATGCAACTGGTCAGGATGCTCTCGATGGTGCAGCTGTATAACTTTTTGAGGATCTGGGGACCCATGCCAAATCATTTCAGTCTCCTGAGGGGGAAAAGGTGTTGTCATGCCCTCTTCACGACTGTCTTGATGTGATTGGACCATGATAGTTTGTTGGTGATATGGACACCAAGGAACTTGAAACTCTCGACCCGCTCCACTACAGCCCTGTTTATGTGAATGGGGGCATGTTCGGCCCTCCTTTTCTGTAGTCCACGATCATCTCCTTTGTCTTGCTCACATCCTCCCTGTAGGCTGTCTCATCGTTGTCGGTGAATCAGTGCTAGAAATGAAATAGCTCAATTAAGTGGAACAGCGTGGGGTACTGGAGTAGAGGGTTGAGAACTGGTTCTAAGGAGGTGTGAGTCACACAGTCCAACAGAGATAAGGAGGGTAGGGTGTTTGATTGACAGCTATGACTCATGGGTAATATCCGCCCCTCTTCCAGGGGGCCAGGGCCTGATCTGCATACTTCATTAGCATATTATATGCCTCACACACACGCACGCAAATGCATTCATGCACACATACGCACATTCACATGCATGCAAATAGAGACACAGGTTAACAACCATGAGAACGCAGAGAGGAGGAGGAAATTGTCATACACACACAATCATACACACTTTAATAACCATGAACACCCCCGCTGGGAGCGGTGTCAGCAGAACGAAGAGAGAGCCATCCCCTGTCGAGTCGCCTCTGCCAGAGATCAAGTGTTCATCACAGATTACCTCTGCAACATCAAACGCTATTAAAATAAAGCCCTGGTCTACAGGAGAGAGAGAGAGAACTGCACTGTTTAGGTTTAATATACAGTGACTGACTGATGGTCGACATGCAGCCTCATGTCCTGGAAAAACACACTAGGGGGAAATACAGTATTCTTTCTAACAAAGATATCTACATATATTTCAAGATGTTGTGTATCCCTGAAATTCATGTAAACATTACAGTTTTGAAAACGTGAAAAAAGTGGTCTCTTGGCACAACCTACCCCGGGTATGGAGTAAGTTGAGCCGTCTACACATTTCTGTACTGAATGAAATATTACCAAAACCTCTATCTTTATTTACCAAACACAATTCAACACAATACCAATCGCTTTTTTGTATTTTAATCATTTTAAGCATCTTTTAACACACTTAACATAGGCCAGGCCCTGTTGTTACCTCATATCCAAGCGATAATGCCTTGCAATAATGCCTTACTCAACTTAGCCCAAGGCAAACATTTTGACTATATTAGCCTACACTGCTACAAGGATCCACTTTCATGCTAGGTTTAGGACCTCATGTTGAAGCTTACAGAGGCCCCAACTGATGTATAAAACAATCTTACAATGATCTACTTTGGTTTAGATACAAGCATCATGAAACCTCTAACACAATAAATTATTTTGACTTGGTGAAAATCCGTTTTTTTGGACCTACTGTAACTTGTTTACCACTTTTTCCATGTGGTTTCTTCCTTCACAGACTCCATGAAATTATGACCTCTTCCTAAATATTTGGTCAAATAATTAATTTTGTGTATGGTTTCATAGAAACAAGGGTGGCTCAACTTACCCCTTTGGCTCAACTTACCCCACTCTCCCCAACTGTAGCAAAAAGTAATCCATACATAGTCTGCCACAAATGGCACCCAATTCCTTATATAGGGCACTACTTTTGACCAAGGCCGCACTTACGCACACATGCATACACACAGGTACTCACAGACACAGTGGGGTAGTTTAGATGTCCAGACAGGGGTGCCAGGCTCTCGTCCGTAGCAGGTGAGGGTGGCACCGCCCTGCAGGATGAAGCCAGGGTAGCAGCTGTACTGGATGGTGGTCCCAACCAGGAGTTTAGGGTCTGAAAGTGACCTGGTGGAGTGTTCCACATGACCCGGGTCTGAACAATACATTACTGAAGAGAGAGGAGGGGGGAGGGAGAGAGAGAGAGAGAGAGAGAGAGAGAGAGGGGGAGGAGAGAGGGGAGAGAGTGGGCAGGGGGGTAGAGGGAAAGAAAGAGAGAAAGAGACAGAGAGAGAGAGAGAGAGAGGAGAGAGAGAGAGAGAGAGAGAGAGAGAGAGAGAGAGAGAGAAGAGGATGGGTGTCAGAGTGGGGTTTGTCCTAGGCAAGCACTCTCAATCTCTCTACTTCTATCTCACACCCAACACACACACACACACACAAAAAACAAACACCCTCCCCCAACCCCACTAGCTAACTCACTCTTCTCGCAGAAGGGGGGCTGTGTGCTCCAGGTGAGGTCTAGCTGACAGGTCAGAGTCTCTCGTCCAACCAGGTCGTAGCCTGGGTCACACTGGTAGGTGATGCGAGCGCCCCGCACCAGGGCAGTATGGGACGTGGTCTTCCAGCCATTCTGGATCTCCGGCAGGTCCGGACACGAGTCGTTACGGGACACCTCTGTGGCGACACACAAACACATGGAACTTTCATTTACAAATACTTCATGTGATTTATATAAATGTATTCTTACAAACAAAAGAACACACACAAAAGAACAAAGGAGAAGGGTTGCAGTAGGGATGTATTTATGCATGCCTTTCTAATTTTCTGGTGAAAGAAGTGTGCGGGTGTGTACAGTGTACATATAGAATGATCGAGTGTGCATTTTTTTATGTGATTGCATGTTTGTGTTTCCATGTGTGAACGTGGAAAGCGTTCTAAATAATTATGTGTGTGTGTATGTATGTGCGTGTGTATCCGCAAAGGCCATGTGGGATGGTGAGACAAATAGGATGTGATTGAATAAGGGCAAAGAGAGAGAGAGAGAGAGAGAGAGAGAGAGAGAGAGAGAGAGAGGAGAGAGAGAGAGAGAGAGAGAGGAGAGAGAGAGAGAAGAGGGTAAAGTGGAGGAAGAGAGAAGGGAGATGAGACAGAAATAGAGAGTCTGGGACATTACACTGTCTCTCTCATTTCTTCATCCTCCTCTTTATCTCTCTAGCTCTGTCCCTCTTTCACTGACTCTCTGTTTCAACTCGGCTGCCGACTCTCTGTACTCGGCTGCCGACTAGGCTATATCCAATTCGGCTATACCTCCAATATTGGCTACCATCTCTCATAAATGAATCTTGTTACCTCTCCTTCCCTCCCTCTCTCCCGCTCTGCTTCTCTTCTCTATCCCGCTCTCTTACCCATGTAGTTGATGATGAAGCCCTCTCCCTTGCCGAAGACGAGGCCGGCGGGGTCGGAGTGGAAGGTCACGGTGAGGTCAGGGGTCGTGGACTGTATCTTGAAGGGCCCGGTTCCGCCCACATACTGGCCCAGGATATGGGTGGTGACTTCATCACCGTCCAGGATGGTCAACATGTCACTGTCACTCAGGTTCAGACTGAAGGAGGAGAGTGAGAGAGAGAAAGGGAGAGAGGGCATAGTTGATTCAATTTCTAGTTGTTGAATCACTCACCAAATGTTTCTAAATGTAATTGTTCGTTGCTTTGGCAATAAGTAGCCTACTTTTGTCATGCCCATAAAGCATTGTGAATTGAAATTGAACGCATCCAACACGTCCCAAAGCACATGATATGAGTGTATATGGTATCAGCACCATATGGCTAACTCAGTGCAGTGGCGACCCGTCATTCATGTTGTGAGCCCCACCTGTTTAAACAACAACAACAGCAAAAAGGTTATCCTGTTTTGCATGTAATTCTGGCATTAATTCGTGTCACATATCAGTTTAGCAAACAATGTGAAAAAAATCATTGGGTTAATAAAAGCAGCATACAAAATTTGTGTTTTTTACTTTGAGTAAGGCAGCTCCAAAATGCAGCAGTTTCAGCCTAGCTCAGTGCTTTCTGCAGTGGAGGGGCAGCCAGCGAAAGCACAGAGCGCAGGCATTGTTAATCTTCTCTGGTTGCGCTGTGATTGGCTCAGGGTTCTGTCACTCATGAGGACACCATGTCACCGCAGAATCTGCGGGAGAGCTAGGAAGTTCAAGCCCCCCTAGGGTGCTACCATAGATTTACAGGAGAAGTGCCCATCCAAGAAGGCTCAAGGTCATTGGCCACAGACAAAATGACGTCAAATCACATTATATCTCTCGTAGCTTTGAATACTTTCAAATCTAAGCTAGCAAGCTAGCTAGCCAGATAAGCAGTCATCATGAATCACAACGACAATCTATTGGCAATCCTTTTCAATCCTTGTCATATGAAGAGAAATTAGAGATAAAATGTCTCGGTGCTCATCGGCCATTGGACATAAACATTTAATACATAACAAGTCAGATATCGCTAATTCAACAATGAGTGGTTTGGAAGGAAGCAGTGGCTAACTGTGAGCGTCGCAAAGCAATCACAATTTTGCTTCCCTGCCTGCTATTCGGTGGAGAGGGTGTGTGGTCCAAGTCTGGGTATAACCTTTTATTGCAGTGGGCCAAATCAGGGTCACACAGAGTGTTCCTTGGTAGTCTTAAACAAATCTACTTTGAAACAAAAGTACACACCTCACACACATGGTTATGGGCTTCAAAAAAAGAAGACACCAGTAACATGTCAGATTTTGAGTTTATATACAATACATCACAGAAGACTGAAATATAACAAAACCGCTTGACATAGAAACACCGGATTTTCTGTGTTAAAAATAAATAAATAAATATTTATAACATTCCACCCATGAGGCCACTAGGTCATTTGACTGCAGGAAAGGGCTACGGATTTAAAACATCTGTATCAAAGGGTTTCAAAACATGAGAATTGTGCATCACATGTAGACAACGCTGTTAAACTTAGATTACTGGGGAAATCAAACATTGTGGCTCAGCTAGACAATGTATATCGGAGAGCCATGACCTTTCACAACCAACAAACGGAAGAGAATAGGTACGTGCTTGCCCGAATTATATCACGCATTAAATTGGGTGGCTGAACGAATATGCATAGGCTACGTCCATCTCAGCTCACTCATGACAAAAATGCGGCTTGCCTCTTATCAGCTCATCTCTCCCTTACGCCATAGTTTATACATCTCAACTGTTATATTGCTTATATAGGCCTATCTCATTAGTATCTTATTCATAATTTTAGGTAATGTTAGAATTATGTATTTAATTGTTCTGCATACTTTGCGTATTATAAATAGCTCATGTGCTTTTCTCCACGAGGAGGGGATACTATATAATGTTGTTGGGTCTGTAACCATGTTTGCCAGTGACAGTCTCTTTCCATTTACATATTTTTATTCAACAAAAAGTTAAGTAATAGACCCATGTAATTCTATTTCATATTGCGAGGGTTGTTTTGTTTGCGCAACGCGCTGTCTGTGAGTGTGTATAATGTCCATAAGTGGATACTCCTGATTGTATCGTCCTTCCTTTTTAGACCACATAACCGCTGAATCCGCGTCATTCTCCCGCTCTCTCTGTGGTGACTTAATGAAGAGTAAAGTTAAGGCCTCAACATATTACTGAATTTATCTGAACTAACATCTATCTGTCCATTTCGAATGTGCTGAACGAAGGACTACCTCGTCGCAGCTCGTTTGCTTGCACTTGCTTATACTTCGAGCTAAGTGTTAATGATATGAGAACCAACATTATGAATTTACTGAACATAAATGTAATAATGTTTGTGTATGTTTGGAAAGTCAAAAGTCATGTTGGCATTCGTTTTTATTGAAGGAGAATGTGGTTCTTATCGAGTTACACAAATCCACAAGGAGTCAGTAGAAACTATATTTAAGAAAGTCAGCTATATCAGCTATGGTTTTTTAAAAGGCAGTAAACGAGGATGAATTAACTGTTTCGCTGCCAGACAAGGCTTCGCTGGTAGCCAGGTGTAGCCGTGGTAAGGATTCACTCCATGGTGCTGAAAAGAAAGCTCCGCTGTTGGGACAGCTTTATGTAGGCCTTAACCGTTTGTGGGCATCGTTTGTCACCGTTATAGTGCATTTAATGTATTGTTTAGTGATGTGTAGTGGCTTCACCGGCATGCATCTAAAAAAAAATGTGTTGAGTTTGCCCCACCAAGATGTTCATGCTAAAATCGCCACTGAATCAGTGTGAGGTAATGGGGTGAAGGTGTCAGAGACTAAAGGCTGGATGAGTCAGATGGAATGCTGGGAGCTGATGACCTCAGAGGGTGGGTGATGAGTAACATCTGGCTACTTTTACAACCTATTCCCATCAGAAATCGGACAGGTGTGTGTGTGTATGCATGTGTGTGTGTCAGTTTGTATGTGGCAGGCAGGTAGCCTAGCGGTTAAAACAGGTTAACCAGCGACCGGAGGTTCAAATCCCGGGTCCGGACAGAAAAAACTTGCGGGAAGTATCAAATCCCAGATGCCATTGCCGGCCGTTGTGCCATTAAACAAGGCACTTAACCCCCCCACAACAATGGCACACAGTGTGGCATTAGAGGCCTTCACTTTTTGGACCCGTTTCGAAATGGACAGGCCTTCCCATTCGACCCAATATGCATAAATATATTTTTTCAAATATAGAGAGAGTCCTGTTCCGAACGGACCCGAGGACAACTAGATCCGTTCCGTATAGACCTGGTCGGATCCAGACCCGGTCCGATCCGAGTGAGGGAAGCAGCAAAAAAGTCAATCTTTAAGCGACTTTATTAACCGGAGCAGATAAAGCGTGAGGGAGAGGAGGTAGAGAGAGGTGAGGCTCTAGCAGGGGCCATGCTGTGTGTGTAGGCTACTGTGAGTGTGAGCGAGTGACACGGGAACAGGGAGGAGGGAGGAAGAGACGAGAGACAGCAACCAACCAAGCCGACTTGAACTATAGTAGCTGCATCAAACCGGGAGAAGCTGGTTAAATTGAGGCTGCGTGCGCTTTCTCGTCCTACACAGTTAGCCTACAAACAACAACAACTCCATTCAGAATATGAAGTAGCAGCATACCTGTTGGCTCTTGGTTGTTGGAGCTTCTCCTTCTCCTTTGACTTTTCATTCCATCTTCCATTGATTAGATATTTCCTAACTTTTGCCCCACTCGGAGGCTCTATTACTGTAGCCTGTTGCCGCTTTGATGACTTATGATTGGCCAACAACAACAACAACAACAACAACAACAAGCTATACGCGCCACTCTCATGAAAAGCAAGAGCAGCAGCATTAATGATACACTTTCTCTCTCTCTACTGCAGCATTCGCGTTCGGATCTGTATGGATCCTTCCGGACAACTCAGTTAAAATTACACATAGGCCTACCCGATACCCGTGGCAATCATATCAGATCCTCGGGTATTCGGGTACAAGTGGATCGGTGAAGACCTCTAGTGTGTATGTCTTTTGGAGGGGTTGGGTTAAAAGTCAAAGTCAAATTTAGGTTGGAACTAATCTTAATATGTGTGTGTGTGTGTGTGTGTGTGTATATATCTCACAGCTGCACGTCGAGCAGCACGCGTTTTTCTTCTCCTACATGTATCCTCCAGCTGCAGTCCTCTCCCTCTCCGTACCACTCTGGCCAGTTAGGAGACAGGATCACACCCCCAGGACCCGCTAGGTCCCCCCCACACAGGGCTGGAGACGGAGAGAGAGGAGAGAGTGAGAGGGGGGAGAGAGGGAGAGAGACAGATGGGGGGGGGGGGGGGGGGGGAGATATCCCAATTAAAAAACCCAAAGGAACTGTATGTTTTAATTTGAAACTCTGTTGTCAAATTGGTATCATTAAAGATAAAAACCTCACAGCTTGATATCAGATATCAGAACTCTCTCAATATGAAAGAAAATGCCACCATAGGATTTTCAGAAGTCTACACAGACACACACACAAATATACAACCCTCCCAACACACACACACACACACACCCTGACTCCCTCACACACACACCTTTGCAGAGTGGTTCCGTGTCGTTCCAGTAGGGGTCTCTGGCGTTGATACACTCTATGACGGGCGGCCCCTGCTCCAGGGAGTGACCAGTATCACAGCTGAACTGCACCACAGCTCCAACACCATAGGCCTGGTCAGTGGTGCTGAAGTTACCATTCTGCAGGTAGGGCTCATAACAATGACCACGCTCAAACGCTGCAGAGAGAGAGACAGGAGAGGGAAAAGAGAGGTTAGACAGAAAGGTTATAAAATATGATTACATGTTTCATCTGGTTTGTGTGTGTGTGCTCTTACCCTCATAGCGGATGTTGAAGCCTGTATTGTGGTTAGGTTGGTCAGTGATGAACTGTACCCTGACCGCTGGACCCTCACTGATCACCCCTTCAAACGGTATTGGACCACCCCGCCCCGAATCAAATAGCACCACAGACCCAGCGTCCAGACCACTCCATAACACAAGTCTGAGGGGAGAAATTACTTTGGAACACTTTATGGGTCCAAGATGATTGTGATATGCAAACTATAAACAACTTGAAGATTTTATGCATTTCAAATGTGGATTATAGCACAATTATAGGTTACATATTCAAAGCTCAAACACACTCTCTCTCTCTCTGACCTGTCGGTGGGTCCAAGGGCCAGTCTCTCCAGGTGCAGGTGTAGTCTCTGTGCTGTGGGGGCCTCCATGGACCAGGAGCAGGAGCGGTCCTGGGTGGCGTTGGGCCCCGGGTGGGGAGAGGGAGACAGGATCCTCCCTACTGTAGCATTCTTCACTGAGCCCCCACACAGTGCTATGGAGGGAGAGAGGTGATGATTATATGTGTGTGTGTGTGTGTGTGTGTGTGTCTCCCCAGCTCTGCAGCTGGGCATGTTGTTGCGCCAGACTGCAGCATGGCATTGAGACGTGTGTGTGTGTGTCCCTGTGTGTGTGCGTGCGTGTGAATGTGTATGTGTGTGTGTCCCTGCATCTGCATGTGTCTCTCCCTCTCCTCCCTACCTCTACAGCTGGGCTCCTTGCTGCTCCAGACAGGCAGAGATGCATTGAGGCAGGTGAGCGCTGCTGCCCCCTGCAGGTGGTAGCCCATATGGCAATGGAAGCGGGCAGTGCCCCCTGGCAGCAGGTCCAGCACTGACACCTCCCCAAAGTGAGGCCTCCTAGGCAGGGCACAGCTCAGACGGAATACTATCAAGGAGAGGGGGCAGGGAGGGAAGAGGGAGGATGGGAGAATGAGAGAGGGAGAGAGAAAGCGTGAGATAAGGAGAGAGAGAGAGAGAGAGACAGAGAGACAGAGATTTCCATTCTGTCATTCTCTCCCATTCTTTCCAGTCTATTTTATGCTATTCTATTCCACAGTTGGCTTCCTGGTCTAATTTGTTCTGAGATGACTGGACAGGCCAGAATAATAGATAGAGGATAGGACAGGCCAGAATAATAGATAGAGGAGAAGAGGAAATCTATCCAGCTCAGAGACGGAGGAGGAAGCGAGACACCCCTCTCCCTAATTATTCTGGTTACATTACAGTCAATGAACTAAGCTATTGCATTGGCATCTATGGGAGAACTACCCCGTTAAGCAGACCGGAACTGACTATTGTTTTTCAATGGTAAACGGTCTGAGTGAACTATCTTCATTTATCCACCATCTTTGTCCTGCCCTGTCACATCTGAACTGACACAGAGAGTGCACAGGGGTGAGATGAGAAAGGGAGACATTACAGATGACACATAATACCTACAAACACAAACAACCACACACTATTAAACGACTGAGATGAGATGAAAACCAAATAATCAGAGTTCTAATCAGCTAATTGATATGACACATCCAATCACAGCGCTAATTGATTACAAAACAAGATTAAGTGGGTAGGCAATTAACAGATCAGGTAGACAGAGAATCAACAGCGCCTGAGGACTTAATGAAAGCTTTGATTTCAAAACATGAAAGTGTGTGTGTGTGCGTGTGTGTGTGTGTGTGTGTGTGTGCGTGCGTGCGTGCGTGTGTGTGTGTGTGTGTGTACTCACTCTGGTAGTGCAGCTGGAACATGCCCATGCCCCCCTCAGGCAAGGAGCGGTAGTATACTGAGATGGTATTGGTCGGACTGCGGATCACCTGACCCTCCACCAGAAGCGTGTGATTGGCCAGAACCAGCAAGGCCCCGCCCTCATCCACCCCTCTGATTGACAGCTGCTCTCCCTCTGACAGATTCACACTCTTCACCTGAGAGAGAGAGACAGAGGGAGAGAGGCAGGGAGAGAAAGAGAGAGGGAGAGAGGCAGAAAGAGAGGCAGAGAGCGAAAGAGAGAGAGAGAGCGCGAGAGAGAGAGAGAGAGAGAGAGAGAGAGAGAGAGAGAGAGAGAGAGAGAGAGAAAGAGAGAGAGAGGGGGGAGGGTAGAGAAAGACAGTGTGAGAGAGTTTAACATCTCATGAACCACGTTAATACGATACAGAAATATTCTAAGATGTGCAAAAAACAGGAACAGCCCCAGTGCCCCAGTGTTGTGTGGAAGGCAGGGTGCTGTTCCAGCAGACAACACTAGGGGTCAGAGTGAGTCGCAAGATCACCACAGAGTCAACTATTGCAACACAGATCAGTGTGTGTGCCACAGGAGGTTGGTGGCATCTTAATTGGGGAGGACGGGCTCGTGGTAATGGCTGGAGCGGAATTGGTGGAATGGTATCAAATACATCAAACACATGGTTTCTATGTGTTTGATACCACTCCATTGACTCTGTTCCAGCCATTATTATGAGCCGTCCTCCCCTCAGCAGCCTCCACTGATGTGTTTGTGTGCATGTGTGTGTATGTGTGTGAATTAGTGATGCGTGGGTTGACTCCTAACCCGTAGTCCCCATGGTTATATCCGGGGGGCGGGTGGGTTTAGGGTCATGAAATATTGTGTAGATGAAGGGTGGGTGAGAGGGTGGGGGGCGGGAGGGTTAAATAAAGAGAAAACAATGCCTTAAAAAATCCATTAATGTATAATTCTTGTGCAATTTATATATATATATATATATATATATATATATATATATATATATATAGGCTACATTGAGGTTTTTCTTTCATTATTTTAGGCTATAAGCCTAAGCTTTAGGGCCTAACTCTACGAGCGTCAAATAGCCCATACACGCCAAATGCTTTTGGGAACGGCAGAAAAAGTTAACGTTGATTGAAGGAAGCAAAAAGGACAATGTCGGAGTTTAATTAAATAAGAGAAAAGCTGCGAAATGGAGAGTTGAAAATAATGAGAAGGCATGGCCAGAAAAGTAATGTTTGGGAAAGATTTGGTGAAGTGGTAAAAGAGGATGATTATGTGATGATTGTGAGGCGCCAAACAAATTTGATAGTCACAAAACAGGGACTTCAAATAGGCCTATGGCACGTTAAGGGAACTGTAGCCTACTGTTCGGATTGGTTAAATGGAAACTGAAATCGGAACACTGACAGTAGGTCTGTAACCTCTCATGCCTCGATCAGACCGACAGTGTCCGCATTTTGGTACACCAGAAGTACATTCATTTCCAATGGAACGCTGCGTTTGCCTTGCAGCATTGCATTGCAGCATTGCATTGCAGAGGCAGTTGCAGTGCATTCTGTGTTCTGTGTGGTGCATACGTTGGATTTATCCAACCATTATGTTGGATTACATAATGAAAAAAGTTTGACTGCAGAATTTATTGTACAGTATTGATGCAATAACACTGTCGGTCTGATTGAGGCATTAATATTAATTCCTGCAGAATTAAGCATTTCTTGCAGTGAAATTATACACCAAATGTAGGCAACATTTTTACTCAGGAACAAGAGTGGAGAAATAGGATTTCTTTCATCATCTTGAAAGAATGCGAATGCGCAGTTAGATACTGTCTGTAGAGGTGCTATCTTTATCAGCATCATAAAAGCTTATAGTATTTCAACCACATAAAATATGCATCCAAGTCGAACTGAAATCTTATCAGAAACCTGTTGGGTCGTTTAAAACTTTCTATTTCCTTACAACCGGTCAAACTGATGTCATTTAAACATTTTGCACAGAAAATCTTTTCCGTCTTTTTTGTTATTGTATTTTATCCCCGGTCCCTGAACGTATTTGCTCCTCTAAAAAGCAGAGATGACAGAGACAACTTTCCCATGTCAACTGTATTGAAGCATTCATTCTATTGATTGATGACATTATTCTGGTGAGCAAGCCTTTATTTAGTCTTCTAGGGCAACATACAATGACAGAAGAGAAGCTGCATGTATCTAATTCTAGACAAGTTGACTAACAAATAGCCTCCCAAAATCTCGTAAATTATAAGCAGAAAAATAGTCTATCTAAATCAGGCAAAAAATTATCCTGCACCCCCTGTCAAAAAAGTATCCTGCTGTCTGGGACTGTAGCCTACAGCCTCAGATTTTCACTTTATCACATATAAATAAAATAATAAATAAATATGCCATTTAGCAGACGCTTTTATCCAAAGCGACTTACAGTCATGCGTGCATACATTTTTGTGTATGGGTAGTCCCGGGGATCGAACCCACTACCCTGGCGTTACAAGCGCCGTGCTCTACCAGTTGAGCTACAGAGGCACATATAATTGGGTGCGCGTGTTTGTGAGTGTGTATGTATACAGGGTTCATACACATTGTGACAGATGGAATTTCATGACTTCTCCAATACTTTTAACCACATTTCCACGATCAACAATTGGCGGTGTCTCTATGTATGTATAAAAAAAAGTACACGTAATGTGGTATCGACACTGGGAGACTGCTCTCTGATCCCATGTACCATCTTCTGTCGTTGTGTAAAGCACCCCCCACAAAGTAGAATACCTGTTAGGCAACAGTATAAAACACATGTGGTCAACGTTCAGTCGGGAGAGTGTGTGCAGGCTTTTGATCAAGCCCTGCTAAAACACATCAGAGCCAGTTTATCAAAGGTCTGGTTGAGCAGCTAATTTCTAAAATGTGGATTGTTAGAGGGGGACTGGAATAAAAGCCTACACACCCATTAGCTCTCCTGGAGGATGGTTGACCACCTTTGATGTATAACATTGCAACATTACAACCAAGTAATTTGTATGCCTTTTGAATAATTTGCTCATTCAATATATCAAAGAGCAAGTGGCTATGGTGGGTTACAAATATTTTTATTCAGCTGAAGCAAGCCCACAAATGTTCTTCAGGAAATATATCTAATATTTGTTCCTAAAATTACTGTTCGCGATTCACAAAATTATTATTTTGATTCATATGATTCAACACGATTGAACCGAATCCCAACTAATACAATGGCAAAGTGAATCGTTCATTTCTTCAAAAAAAATATTTTAGATGAATCATATGAATCATTCAAAAAAGTAAATCAACTTTGAATGACCTTATTCCCGAGTGTCGGTATAACGTTTTTTATTTTTTATACATGCTAATAATAGCTGAACAGTTAATTAGAGGATTCAAGATACAGTGTATGTTTTGAATTGGCTACTTAGTTATTAGTCTGTTCTCTATCATATTTTATAGGCTGACCTGCTGCTGCAATGTCCGACTGTCTCATCTCTCCTTGAGCAACCGCCCACTCGTCTTGCACACGTGCTGGTGATGCGCGCAAACACAGGTGAGCTAGTCTCATTACGATCCTGGATTAAATATTTTAAAACTGTGCCTAAATACATTACATTAACAGACATAATTAATTTCCCTGACTTTTTCAAAGCCTTTCGGATTTGATAATTTTCCTAAACATTTCCAGGCCTGGAAAAAACCATTTAAGAATTCCATGACTTTTCCAGGATTTCCATGACTATATGAACCCTGTGTATATGTGTGTGTATGTCAGTGAAAGCGTATGTGTGTGTAAATGTGTATGTTTGTTTACCTGTAGCTCGACTCCATAGCCTGTGTACACAGTGATGGTGTATGTACAGTGTATGAATGTTCCATCTGGTAGAGGGGGGTCATCAGAAGAGTCTATGTATCCCTCTGGGTCGGAGAAATTCACCATACAGCCAGACACAGCTGGAGAGGAGAGGAGAGGAGAACGGGGAGAGAGGAGGAGATGAGAGGAGAGGGGAGGAGAAGAGGGGGAGAGAGGAGAGGAGCGGAGAAGACAAACATCAATTTAACAATACTGTAAAAATATTGGAAAAGCAATTTATTTTCACAGT